ATGTGTCCAGCTTTACGATGGCTGTCATCGCTATCCATCGGTGGCGTAGTGTCACATCCCGTATGACTATCAGCTCGTGTTCAAAGAGATCGCTTTGGATTACAATAATCAGTACATGGGTTCTGTCCGCTCTGATGGCCATTCCCCTCTCCATGTATAACCAAACCCAAGAAGTCTTTACATACAAATACTTAACGAGATGTCGAGTCGTTTATCCCGAATCCAGTTACGATATCCCACTCCTACTTACTATTGAATGCTTTCTCACACAATATATGATACCATTGTCTTTGGCCTGTTTTATAGTGAGTATTAATCATCTCTATTTCATGAGTTATTTAAGTTATTTAAGTAGGTTCAATTTTACTAAACTTACTTTCTGATTATATTTCCAAATAATTCAGTATTTTTGGTAAAATTCTTTATATCAGACTTTTACTTGAATAAACGGGAATTAAATTATCTCAGTATTTTTCATATAAAATCGCTATTATTTTAACAGTAACAATATTATTAGGAGACAAAAATCAATATGCTTTAAGTGTTATATTATTATCACATAAACACTTGTCAATAGTAGCAATTGTCTATAATATATAATATCATTATTTCAATATTCACAAAATGGATAAAAAATAATTTATTAATACCGTAATAGTCTATAATAAGTTAGATAAGATCTCGAGTAAATAAATATTAATTCACAAAATATGAATGACTTTATTGAACTTAAATTTTTGGTTAATAATTAATTGTTTATTTCCGTAATTAGAAATTTAATTTAGTAACAAGTTTCATAAACTAAAATTAAGTTATTTAGAAGTTTCAATAGAAATCGTTACTATTAATTGTTTGCCAGTGATTTGGCTAAACATTTGTAAGTATTTTTAGAGACAATTAGTTTTATTGCTCAGAGAGTATCGTATCATTCATTCAACAAATATATCGCTTCATTCATTAAATTATAAGATTTTTATATCTATTTGTGTAATTCATAGGAAAATGTTTTATAATGAAAACAAACAATAACATAATGGGCAAAAATAATTGATTGTATCTATAAATATCATCTCTTTTTGTCTTATAGTACGGAAAGATAGCGATCGTGATCTCAAGACAAGGAAAAATCGCTAATCTAAGAGGTATGTCCACTATTTTTGTTATATATCTCTCTATTACTAAAACATTGATATTCTCCAATAACACGTATTAATGAGTCCACACAAAGACAAACTAATCTATCAATTATTGCAAAAATAATATTACACACATTTACCATAACTTTCAGTATTATCTATCACATCAAAGATCCCATTAAAATATGAGTCCATTAGTGGCATAATGTAGCCCTTGATTGCAATTAACTTACGGCTGAAATGTGTATAAAAATGATTAATTCTAATGTGTATTGTTGTGAAACTCATAATAGACTTGTCTTACGGGTTGTCGGCAAATATGTGTAAATATTTCAAAAGTTTTTGCGATAAATAATTTCTTTCCCGTTATTAATCAAAATGGAAAAAGGATTTTATTATTTATATTTAAATTTATATTATGATTGAACGGAAAAACAACACAATTTTTGAAAATGTCGACATCTACAAATCTCGTTATTTTTTATATTCACAAAGTTTTCGTAAATTTTAAATTTCAACAAATATCTATTTTTAGTTTATCAGGAAAAATAGCAAATACAAATAAAATACATTCGCAAAATGCATTTACCATAAATCTACAGGTATTTCTAAGTTTACGTTTTTTCAATAAAATTTTATTTATTATTTATGCATTTTATGTCAAAATATGTAAAATACATTTATTAATAATACTGTATATAAAGAGAATATTTTAAATTTGATTAAATTTGATATAAATAGTAATTTCTTACACCACGTTTAAAACAAATGATAAATATTATGACAGCAAAGCCACCGAAACTCTTGACATTAATAAAAATGTTATTATGATTGCGTTAATGCAAGAAAAAATATGGTGAATATGTTTTGCTTTTTATTACATTTCCGTATAATTCACCGAATAATATATACCAAGAATTCTGTTGTTGTCTCAAATGGAGAGACTATTCTTATGGACAAAATCTACCAGACATTCAGACATTTGCATTAATATTCAATTCACTAAGCGATCCATTGTTTTCAATGAGTGATGCAGTTTGGGAGAGAGAGAGAGAGAGAGAGAGAGAGAGAGAGAGACTGAAAGACTTCCTATAGATATATCATTTGTTATGACACCGAATAATACAGATATCAGAACCGGGAGATCAGTTGAGTGGTTGGATATGCAGAAAAAACCTCTGAATAAAAAATATAGTAAACCTAACAATGATTATATTATATTGACATTCATATAATATGCTTATTCATGATTTTGTAAAGCACTTTTATTATGGGTTGGCTTTAGTATAAAAATTACCAAAAAAATACTGAATAAACGGTAGAAAATTTTCAGAAAGCTTTTGCAAACGGATGGTGAAAATTGTTTGCAAATTGATTGCCACCAGATTTGGCTAAAAATAAATTTTAGATGAAAAGAAAAGCTTAAAATTGATTTGGGAGACAGTTATATATAAAAGAGGCAAATGGAAAAAAGTTAATGCCATTCAAAAACACGCGGATTATCGTTTAAAAAGAATCCGTATCTGTAGACTATAAGCAGGCAAAATTAATTTATGGTTTTATTTGGTGGTAAAACTACGGATTAAATCGCTGTCTCGAACCATAAAAAGGGCACAAATGCACCTAAAATAGAGAAAAATCTATATGGGTGAAATCTTGCTTTTATATAATATATTGAAATGGATGTCCACTTCGTTTCTCATTTATACATTGCTGTCAATATATGAGGACACAAATGGAAAGAGAGAACATTTTTAGCATCACATCAATATCTACTCACTTATAATAGGCTGACGAGAGAGAGAGAGAGAG